CAAAAGCTGTCTACTTGGTTAATATAAAAATTTTTTTTTTTTTTTTTTTAAAGAGATGGGACTTTAGACAAAAATCCCCTCTCAACAACTGTAGAATTTATATACCCCTTGTAAGATGCAAGCATTAGTCAAGGGAAACAATGCTAAGCTTCCAAGTAAAAATACTAAAAACACTAAGAATTCGAGATCATGATCATAAAATGATTTTATATTCATAAACAGTTAATCACATTAACAAACATCCACTAAAACATAACATTTTGTGTCCCAGAAATACTGCTCTAGAGCGTTCCAAACTTTTGGCAACATTAGCTTTGTTAGTCAGATGAAATGTATATAATTCAGTCTTCAAAGTTTTTTGTAATTTATTTATGTACTGTTAATTAATACCCTATTTATTCATATTGAGCATTGACAAAATCTGCTTGCTTTAAAAGGCATTATCCTCCACTAATATACTAGTTGATATGTTTTAAGGCGTAAAGAAACTTAATACTAATTTAAGATGTACACAAAAATAATTGAATGAAAAATCTCAATAGATACGAGAAAAATGATAATTACACTAAAATTTGGAAAAACCATGATTATTTACAATTAGCTTTGATCATTATCTTTCACAATTTTCTATCACACACTAATAATTTTGCAGAATAGCAGGTAAATTTTCATTATAATTTATTTTTCCTGTAGAACATTCTAACAATTCTCAGTAGCCTAAGCATTAGGTTGGTTACAAAATAATGGTGACTTCTTTTTTAATTTTGATGCTTATTTTGAAATAAGCTTTTATTTAACTATGTTCAAGTAACATTTTAAAACATGAATTTCACTACAGATTTCTGCTACCAATTTTATTTTTCCCCATTGTTTCGGATATTAAAATGTGTAGTGGGAGTAGCACATTCAAGTGATTTTATTGTAAGAATCCAAAATGGTATATGGAAAAGCAGAAACTGCTTGCAATATCAACTAAGGGGACTTATAATTTTTTTTTCCTGTAGAACATTCTAACAATTCTCAGTAGCCTAATTCTGTCACAGTCCTTTAAAATTAACACCATTAAGGTTACAAGCATATATTTAAAAAAAAAACAAATGTCTAGAAGATGAAGTGGGCCACTGACAATGACATTTAGGGTCACTATTAAAGCAGACAGCATACAACACAACTCCAGACATTGCAGAACTAAGTCGTGCCAAGTTAGAAAATCAAAAAAGATTGATGAATAGAATAGTACAGAAGCAGAAATATTGACGGCTGCAAAATACATTTCTTGAATGCATTGTGATTGGTTCCCCACAAAATATGCTTTCTATATGGTAGCCATTGTTCCAAGTGGTTACCAGATGGAAATGAAATACCAAAACTATACTGAACCCCAAATGAAAACTGTATCAAAAAGGTGATAGCTGTTTGGCAAATGAAATAACTTCTTGAATCCTGACAAAATCAGGACAGCACTGCACCAGAAAGTGCAACAGTTATGTCCTTTTCAAATGGTTTTGCAGAGACTTTCTGCAGTACCCTTTCAAATCTTCAGCAGAAGATATGCATATCAACCATGTTGTTCAAGAGTGGCAAAGGGTAAACAACTGGTTTGGCCATCTGAGGAGGATATTCTAACAGAAAACTATGACAACAGTGTGCTATTGACAAACTTCAATTTAAGTGGATCGTGATATGTAAACCCTTGATAGTATACACTATTTAGTTCAGTCTTTTAAGTAATTCATTTCCTGTCATTTGCAACCAAAGAACCCTTATAATAAAGAGGTAATACTAGCTCCTGGGGATCTGTCTCTTATACAGCACCACTTCATGCATGACACCAACAAAAGTCAGGGTTATATCCTCTGGCAAAGACTGGCGAAATTGGGTTGTTTTTGCCATTACCCACACAGGCATATCAGACACCCCCACCCCCCATTAAACCTGACTATGCTGTATTTGCCCCTTTTGGGAGCCAAATACTATCTCTGGGGAAATTGATTGCTTCTGGCTTTTGTGCTTGAAACTTTATAACCTGTCTGATTTATTCAAAATTGTTCACCTTCACTCAACTGACAAGCAAATTTGGATTTTGTCAGAACAAATACAGCAGCTGGCTTTCATCTAGAAGAAAAAAAAAAAAAAAAAAAAAAAAAAAAAACTCTTAACTATGAAGTTTTTCAGAACACAAAACTAGCATATGGAAGTGGGGGGGCAGTTATATAAATTAATTAGTTTTGTATTTGTTAAATAGTTAAGTCAACCTGGTGGTTTAAATGATTTCATAATTTCCACCATTATTGTGAATGTATTTATTAGTGATTGTTTTTGTCAAAGCAAAAAAGCCAAGATTTTGAATGTTGATGGGGTGGGGGCAAGCAGGCTCTTCCCATTTAGAAAATAGCCTAAACCAACTTTCTCCATCATGCATTTAGCCTTGTGCCCTACTTGCTAAACTTAATAACTATAAAGATAATGAATAGGGTATGGATTAAGTAAATCAATATATAACATTAAGGTCAAATAACTTCCAACTTCAATGTTGGAATGATTTTTATTCTAAAGAGGACATTCCAATGACTAATGCTTGTGTTCTAAGAGATTTCCAAAGGAAGATAATTTCCAAACAATATTTATATATACACTGTCCTATTTCAGAACAATAAATTTTTTTTTTTAAAAAGATCTTTTCCTTAGTAAAATTCTTTTTTAAAATCACAAATATTTAATTTTCTTCTTGTAATATAAAAAAATATAAAATATAGGGTTTTTTGTTTATGAATATAGTAAATAATAATTAAGCACAGAATGGAATCAATAATTCACTAAGATTAGATTATGAAAAACAAAGCCTAAAACTTAAACACCTTGAAATAATTAGGTGTTGGGGGGGGGGGGAAATGTAAAGAAACTTTCATGATTTCCAAAACTAAAGATTTTTAGTAAATAAAATTTACCCTCCAATTCAGTAGATATTAATATCCTACAGATATTCAAGAAACAGCAGCCAACAGTAAACATGATAATATGTTCTACAATTCCATAGTAACTTTTACCAGTTATTGTTTGTTAGGCTAACAAAGGGGTCACAGTCCTTTAAAATTAACACCATTAAGGTTACAAGCATATATTTGTAAAATTTACTGAAATTTCTCACTTTCAGCTGTATTGATATGAAATTTATTGCCATGATAAGAAAAATAATTAGCACTTATCAAAATCTATAAACAAATTTTAAGATATGAATAAAAAGTACTGGCTCCACTGGGACAAAATGATGAAACCAATACTTTTGTGCTTCCAAAAGGCTTCTTTAAATTCAAAAAAACCTTATTTGTAAGCAACAAAAATTTAATATATTTCTTTTTTTTTTTTTTTTTTAAAAAAATTTTTTTTCAAAGGATATGAGATCATTTATACAAATAATTTCCAGAAAAAAAAAAAAAAAAAGAAAAAAAAAAGAGATTTAGTTAATAATTCCGTAGTTGCTTTTTTACTTTTGAGCAGTAGTTCTCAGCCAGGGGAAATCTTACTTTTTCACAAGTTTCTAACAGACTGTAATTTTCATCAGAATAAAATAAATTTAAATACCCTGATCCTTTGTTTATTGAAGCATACTTAAGTTTATTTAATAGCTATGAATGAAAAATTACTTTACATGTATTCAAGTTTTAAAATCCATTAACATTTTCTATTGCTAAAGCTTGTAAAACTCAAAAATAATCTATGTATATGTAAGAATATAGAAAAGAATGAAGATTTTCAATAATAGATGCATATTATTTAGAATATCCCTTTTGAGTTGAATAGTCTTGGAAAGCAGGTGACATTCTGACATGGTGACTTATGGTACATTGAGCAAAAAAGGCTGAGAACTACTGCTTTAGCTGTAGTTATATTGTTCACTATAATAGTTTTAAATAAATAAGCTTTCAAGTTTTAAAATAGCATGGTCAGTTTCTTTCATTAACTTTAAATGCTAATATATCTAATGATAAGTGTAGTCCAAACTTAAGAGACTACAATCTGAATGGTTTTCATTTGGATTAAGTAAAATGGGATACAAACTTCTGAGATGAAAGAGTTCTAACAAAAAGCAATAGCAATAAGACTATTAACCATGCGAGATTCTCCTATTTTATGAACACAATAGCTTAGATTACCCTGTATGAATTAATACTGAATTATGATTTTTTTTTGGGGGGGGGGGGTATATGGTTATATCTTTGCAGGTTATTTAAAGCCAGAAAATATTCTTAAATGGTAAGGATTTTTTGAAGATAATAATTTACTTATACAAGTCCTAATTAACCCATAGCTGGGGAGAGCTGGAGAAGAGGTGGGTTCATAACTTTCCCAACAGTATTTGTGTATAAGTGAATATAATGAAACTGACTGGAATTGAAACTCAGCTTCCAGATTTCCAATTCCAAGCTATTATCCATTACACCACCTGCACATCCAAGATTACGGCACCTAGTATTCTCAAGGTCACCCATATAGGTACTGAAGCTAGTCACTGAATTATTAACAGAAATTAAGTCTGTCGATGCTTTAGAAACAATGTGAATTTAATGGATTTATGTAATTAAAAAGAAAAAATACTTTATTATATGTTGTAAACCTCATTAGAAATTTTTTTTAGAGAAAATGATGAGATAAAAAATATCTTTATAGACGGAAACACTGAAAAATATAAAAAAAACGACATTCTGAATAAATCTTCTCGCCAGCCATATTTACAAGATATGCTATTAGCTATTCTTATGATTGCCAATTTGTTATTTTACTATTTATGACCTTGACACTATAGACAAGAATTTAAGTAAAGAAAATTGGTCATGTTATTTGGCATAGTGGATTTAAAAAAAAAAAAAAAAAAAAAAAAAAAAAGTGGGGGTGGGGAAAGATGTTAATAGCCAGGAAAGTATGACAAGTCATACAAAAGAAATGTAAACAGTAGAAAGGTGGAGCAGGGAAAGAGGGATATCTTATGTACATAGTGAAGATCAAGCAGACGCCATTCTCTGAGTCACCTCCAGAGTTTCAGGATGCCAAACAGGTGCATTTGACTTTGGAAGTGGTTGTCGGCCACGGATAATATCGGCAGCTTTTTCAGCCAGCATACACGTCGGTCCATTTAAATTGCCACTGACAACACTGGGCATAATTGAAGCATCCACAACTCGAAGGTTTTCCACTCCAATCACTTTTGTGTCTGGGTCCACCACTGCCATTGGGTCACTTGGTTGGCCCATTTTACACGTGCATGAAGGGTGGTATGCACTGTCTGCTTTTTGGCGAGCAAAGGCATCAATCTCTTTGTCTGACTGGATATGAGACCCAGGCGCTAATTCATCACCTCGATAAGGGTCAAATGCCCTTTGTGCAAAGACATCTCTGGAGATCTTAATTCCTTCTCTCATTTCAGTAATGTCTTGTTCTGTACTGAGGTAGTTTGCAACAATTAAAGGATGGTCATTATGGTTTCTGGTTCTCAGTTTCAAATAACCTTTGCTAGTTGGACGCATGGGTCCCACATGGACTTGATATGCATGGCAAGGACCAAATTCTCGGCCATGGTCATTAACTGTAGATGGTAAAAAATGGAACTGGAGGTCAGGGTGGTCGATATCTGGACGGCTACGGACAAATCCACCACTCTCAAGATGAGCGGTAGCACCATCTCCTGTAAAAGTCAGAAACCATTGCAAACCAATTTTAATCATATTGTGTGGAAATTGGCTGCTGTATAGCGTTATGGGCTTTGTACACTTTTGCTGGACATAAATCTCAAGATGGTCTTGGAGGTTTTGCCCTACACCAGGCAAGTGGGAAACAATTGGAATGCCTAATGTCTTTAGGTCATCAGCATTACCGATGCCAGAGAGCATAAGAAGCTGTGGAGAGTTGATGGCACCTCCAGAAAGAATTACTTCGTTGGTTGCACGCACCTTGTGTACAGTTCCCTTCTGTTCATACTCTATACCCACAGCTTTGTTTCCTTCAAAGAGAATTCGTTTCACATGTGATCTTACTTGTGTTTCAAGGTTAGGTCTTTGAAGAACCGGTCGCAGATAAGCACTGGCTGTACTCCAACGTTTACCCTTGTAAATAGTCATGTCCATCCAACCTACCCCTTCCTGCTGATAGCCATTCATATCATCAGTAAAGGGGTAACCTGCTTGTTGACCAGCTTCGATGAATGCATGAAACAGTTCATGGTTAGTCTTTCCTCTTGAAACATGAAGCGGACCATCTCCACCTCGGTAGTCATTTGCACCAAGCTCGTGGGTCTGTGATTTGCGAAAGTAAGGCAGGCAGCTAGCATAAGACCAACCAGTGGCCCCTTCTCTCTCCCACCGGTCATAATCATAGGCATGGCCCCGGATATAAACCATAGCATTGAGGGAAGATGACCCTCCCCAAACACGTCCCCGAGGCCAATACATTCTGCGATTGTCCATATGCTTCTCGGGTTCTGTTGTATAATACCAGTTGTATTTATCATCACAGAGGTTGTACATCAGAGCAGCAGGCATGTGTATTTTCCAGGAATAGTCTTTAGGCCCAGCTTCTAGCAGTAGAACCTTGTTGTCTGGATCTTCTGTGAGGCGGTTGCTTAGGACACAGCCAGCAGAGCCTGCCCCTACTACAATGTGGGTGTACTCGGGTACGGTTTTGCCAGTAACTGAGGTCGCGTTGCTGAAATAACGGGCTGATTGGGTGCCAGAGAAAGGAGGTCGCCGGCGAAGATTGGCATTCAGTAAACCAGGTTCTATCATCAAGTCTAGAGGGCAAGAGAAAGATGAATGATGAGTTATTTATGGATGACAGGGAGATGTCAGACTATGCATGTGAACAAACAGAAATATAAACAAAATAGCAAACATGGCAAAGATTCAAAGAACTAGAAGCCATTAGTATAAAGAGAAAGGAGGAATGGGTTTATAAGAAGCAGGGGAGAGAAAACAAAAACACAGTTGGAAGATAGAGACAAAGAGATGGAGGAAGGGAGATGCACACAGAGATTTTGAACCCAAATCAGACAGAAACAGATATACAAAATCTGCTGAAAAATTCTACAAAAAAAAAAAAAAAAAAAAATTGAATCAATTTGTTTTCCTCCTTAATTTAGTAACTAACACAGACAGAATAATGAAAAATAACAGAAATCCAGATGAAATAAAGACTATTAAAAATTAAAAGTGATCAAGAGAGACATTTTTGTTTGCTGTACAATAATTACAAAAAGTTAAGGGTTAAATTTTCCTCTTTTGCTATAAAATTGTCTGATGGACATGATTTATAGTCCCAAATATTGAAGTTAATCTCCCCCACCCACAGTCTGAACTTTGCTTAAAACCATATTTGATTAATTTAAAAAAAAAAAAAAAAAATTTTTTTTTTATTACTAACAATGAAAGAAAATAAGTAAACACAGAATCCTTAGAATTATACAATCACTAAGCAAAGTTGATTTCATAGGACTTGATTGATTTAAAGTTGCAGAAATCCTATTTTGTGGTGATTGCACTCTAAGCTTGATAACTTGAAAATGGGCAATGCTTTAGTTTACAGAGATGATTTTTGTATAAAGCAAATTTAATGAGAAATTGTAATGAAGTCAACTTTCTATACAAGTTTTATTAGTATAATATTAACTGCAATAAAATGTCATTTAACTAGAGTCTAAAACTAGCTTTTCTTGTATGCAACCATTTTCCAAAGAATGATTAAATTGAATCCTTTTTATCAAAGTTTGAATTTTGTAAACTTATTTACCAATTATTTATGAGTAAATTTATACAAATAGAATAAGAATCCACACTTTTCAGTGTTTTGTTTTCAAATAGGATAAATTGGAAAAGATTTTAAGTGCTTCAAACAATGTCTGAATAGACTGCAGCAAGCAAACAGAGGAAAAGTATTTGGCCCCAGTCATAATTGTGGGCTATGAAAATGTGTAAAGAAATGTGATATTTTGGTAAGGGTTTTGGATATGTGGGGGGGGGGGTGGAGAAAGAGCAACCAATGAAAACTTTCCCCACAGCAACAAACAAGAAAGAATCTAATGATGAGGAAAATGTGGAGTCCAAAAACCGATAGAAAAAAAGAGAAGTGATAAAAAAAATTTTTTTTTAATTTTTTTAAAGTTATTGATTTCGATGAACAAATTAAATGCAGTTTTAAAAATGTTGGAACAAAAATATCAAGTTTAGGAATATGGTCTATAGAAGTAGAGAGAGAAAAAAAAAAAAAAGATGGGGAGAGATATGCAAAAAGCAAATATTTAAAGTTTATGTACATAAATGAGGTAACCAAATTAACGAGTCCTGCTTCAGATTGCAATTTTTAAAAATATAGATAAAAAATATATTTTAAAGTTTAAGCTGATTATATAAACTGTTTTTATTCTTTCTATTTTATTGTTGGAAAGTTTTTGATCTTGAGGACAAAAAGCTCTAAAATTGCAGTTAAAAAGAAATGATTAACATTACTGAATTGTCGTGAAGATAATTTGAAATAAAACAGTGAGAACCATAAGTAGCAAAAATGAGGAAAGTGTGTATGTGTCATTTAGTATGAAATCAACAAGGTCTGACCATCACCAACAGTTTATTTTTTTTTTTTTTTTAAATTTGATAAACTTATAGAGCTTCATGATACAAATTGAAGGATACTTATTTTACATCTCTTGGTCAAAGGGTTCAAGATAGGACGCTTTGACCCTTGCCAAAAAGGTGAATTTTGTCAAAAGTTTAAATATCAATATCTCGGTTGTTTTTTCACCTACAAAGCTAAATTATATACCATTTTAAAGTACTTGGATAGATCTTTATATCTTTAGAAAGCTCATTATGACACTTTTTCACATAAAAATCTGTTTGTTGTATAATAAAAATGTAAACAAAACCAAAAATAAGGTTGCTTATTTTCTATTGAATTGGTCAAAATCTAACCACAAATACAAATTCTGTTGATTTGATGATCATAGGTTTTATGTGAATATTAATCAGAATTCAAAGAGCTTTTTAAAGATATACAACCTGATCATATTGGGAGATATGAAAATATTAGTATATCAGGACCAATTCAGTAAAATCCTTCTAAGTCAGGCCACAAAATTTCGTACACATCTTGCCATATAAAAGACAAATTTGTTGCCAGGTTAAAAAAATAAATAAATAAATAAATAAATAACCTTTTTTATCTATCCAAATATTTTAAAATGGTATAAGATTTAGCTTTGTAGGTAAACAAAAAAAACAAAAACAACTGAGGTATTGATATTTAAACTTTGTGACTATCCAAAATTCACCTTTTTGGTAAGGGTCAAAGGGTCATATCTTTCGAACCCTTTGACCAAGAAATGTAAAATAGGTATAATTCAATTTCTATCATGAAGCTCTAAAAGTGCATCAAATTAAAAAAAAAAAAAAAAGAAAAAAAAAAGAAAAGGAAAAGAAAAAGTGTGTCAGTGATAGTCAGACCATTGTTGATTTGATTCGTATGAAGAGATGGTTGTGCAAAAGAATGAGAATTTTGAAGGATTGAATTGGCCAAAGTGCTTAAGGGTTGGAATCACAACTGCGACACCACCCAATAAGTCTACCAACTCATGTTGCCACACTGGCACCAGGTGAAAGATTTTATTAGAAAAGTCTTTACATATCAAGATAAAAAGCAAAATAGAAAAAAAAAAAAAAAAAAAATACAGAAAGTTAAAACAAAAATGCATTATGCTTATTTTCTAATAATATTCAGACTCACTAGATATGAGAAAGAGTAAAAAAGAAAAAAAGTTTATACAAAAGCTACCTAAGTCTTGTTCAGATGTTAAAATGTTGTTGTGCAATTTATTAATGTTCTTGGCAGAAAAAAAGATAATGATACAAATGAAATAAATATTAGTCTTTAAAAATGGAAGAAATTCAAGTTTTTCAATGTTAACTAATAAAAATATTCAGACTGGACTTTTACAGATGGATTACAGCAAAAACTCTTCCTTAAGCTGAACAACAGAGTTAACTCTGGTACTTACAAAATGCATAGTTGTAAAAAAAAAAAAAAAAAAAAAAAAAAATTAATTAAAAAAAAAGTTAAAAATTCTAAATATGTTGAATAGTGAATATGTATATACACTTGTTAAGTTTTTTGCCCTAAATCTTTAAACTGAATTATATATTACTAGTAAAACATCAGTAAATTTATGTAGAATAAAAAAAATAAAAAAAAATAATTTTAAACAATCTATATTTTTAATATCTTTTTCAAATGATTCCTTTTTCAATAATGAAACTGAATTTTAAAGTAAGAATATTTGAGAAGAAACAAAATTTATAAAAATTTAAATTAACTTCCCTAGTAATCTTGTAGTTAAAAATTAACAAAACTAATTGCATAAATTCTTAAATGATTAATCTTTGAGTAACTTTGTGCCATATAAATTGTAAAATCCTACCAGGATGATTAAATCCCTCATCTATTGAGCAAATGTGTGAAAAGGAGTTTCAACTATAACCAAACCTTTTGCAAAAAAAGTGATATTTCTAATTCTATTTGAATTAAAAAAAAAAAAAAAAAAAAAAAAAAAAAATTTTTTTCTTTTTAAATTTTAGACTTAATAGGAGGGTAAAAGTAAAGTTTAAAAAAGTTAAGTGCAAAATTTTTATAGCTGTTCCAAGAGTGAAAATTTAGCTATATTCAGTAATATTTAACATTAAATAACTACTGCCCATAATTTAACTAAATGTAATTTACAAGCATCAAACCAGGATAATTTTCTATTTTTATTATAGGCTTAATTTTCTTGTATAATTAATGTTCATGATATGTTTTAAGGCTGAAAAAAAGAAAAAAAAAAAAAAAAAAAAAAAAAAACAAACTGATAGTGTATATCACCAAGAGTTATGTCAAGCCTACCTAATGATTCAATTTTGCTATTAAATTTATCATACCAAGATTTTAAAGTAAGTAAAAAAATATCCATAGTTGACTTTAAATAAAACGGATTAATTTTTTGTAATTGTAAAATAAGAAAAAGAAAATGAAAAAAGGTCCAAACTTTTTGAATTGAGAAATCCAAGAGAGTTGACCCAAATATTTAAGCAAGATCAATGTCACTCATAATAAACATAATGGATAAAAACAAGAGAGCACACTTTTGTGTCTACTTGTTCAAAGTTCACAAGTAATAATTTAGTTACAAGGATCAAAACACTTTCAATTTCTCAGAAAAATAAATCGCCAGCAAAAAGCTAAAGAAAATTGAATTGGCATAAAAATAAAGAGATAATAAATGGCTTACTTTGGTAAACTGTTAGGAAGCAAGAAAAAAGAAAAAACAAGAAAACAAAAAATAAAGTCAAGTGATGAAAACTTCAAAATGGAAGATAAAAAGCGAATAAATTGATTCTGCACAGATAAACAGAAAATGTCAGTTAAATGATAAAGTGAAAATATAAAATGAGAATCTTAATGTAAAAATGCAAAATAAAGAAAAAAAAATTGATTTAACCTGTGAATTATGAAAAGTTATAAAAGAACATCGACAAACTTTAGGAAATAACTTCATTGGGATGTAATGAACAAAAACTACCACAAGAAAGAGCATTTTGACAAGTTCAAAAGAGCTTTCTCTGACCCATAAGTTCAGACACACACACACATATATATATATATATATATATATATATGTCATCCACAGAGACTGTTTTGCAGCTCAGTGAGGCTAGGTATCTGATTGCTTCCAACCGGAATCGAAACCAAACCGATTTGGTATCAGCC